TGGATTATAGGGATGAGCCCCGAATCCAGTCTAAATATTTTTTTGCTAAAGCTAAATTTTAGATTTCTTCTTAGATCTCCTCACCTTGAACTATTGGTAGGTTTCTGCAGTCACACTGAGGTTTAATACTTTTATAATTCAAGACTCTGCGTAAATGGGACTTTGGTCCCCACAACCACATTCTAAGTTCAAATGCAGCTAACTTATGCAGGGCTTTCAACAGCATGATCCTAGCTGCTTCTGCAACCCCATCCAAACCTAGAAAACAGGCTAAGTGAAAGAAGCCAGACAGAAAAAGCCACATATTGAATTATTCCATTTATATAAAATGTCCAGAATAGGCAAATCCATAGAAACAGAAAGTACATTCGTGGTTGCCAGGGGCTGAGAGAAAGGGAAATGGGAGTGACTGTTTAATGGGCATAAGGCTTCTTTTTGGGGTGATGAAAATACAAACGGTCCCCGACTTATGATGGTTCTGTTTGGCTTAGGATGTTTCAACTTTACAATGATACAAAAGTGATATACATTCAGTAGAAACCATACTTTGAGTACCCATACAGTCATTCTGTTTTTCACTTTCAGTATAGCATTCAGTAAATTCCATGAGCAATTCAGCACTTTAAAGATGATTTTGCTCAACTGTAGGCTAATGTAAGTGTTTCGAGCACACTTAAGGTAGGCTAGGCTAAACTGTGATGTTTGGTAAATTAGATGAAACAAATGCATTTTTGACTTATTTATTGTTTTTTTGGGAGATGTAATCCCATTGTAAATTGAGGAGCATCTGTGTCCTATAATTAGATAGTGGTGATGGTTGCACAGTATTGTAAATATGTTAAGCAATCACTGAATTGCACACTTTAAAATGGTAAATTTTATGTTATGTGTATTTTATCTCAAGTGAATTAAAAAACAGAAAACTGTCCTGCCTATGTCAATGAAGATAAGAGACAGAACAATCAGATGGGTTAGTGGAGACTGCTTAAAGAGTTGCCCCATTGTGAACTCTTCCTGGGAAGAACATGCAGTACCTCCCGCAGAGTACCCACATTCTATCTCCCCATTTCCAGCCAAGTAAAGAGAGCGTCCAGAGAAACAAGCCACAAGCTGACAAATGCCTCCTGAAGTTCAGAAAGCACAGATGCTGGACTATGAGTTCTGAGTTTCCCCTGAAAATGTGTCTCCATATAATGAAACATAGGATTGGGTGAGAGATCTGGTTCTATAAGAAATCTTGGGCAATTTACAAAAGCCAACTGGAGCAGACCAAGAGAAGAACAGGATGCTGTAGGAGCTGAGTGCACTTTCATAGTTGGTAGGCAAAAGTATGTGTTTCTTGTGGGCCCAAGCTAAGTCACACCGTAAAAATCCTATTAAGAGTGCTGCCCGCCAGAGTGAGGAGATTCCACAGGAAGCTCCTGCATGCAGCAATCAGGGACCGCACTGAACTCCATCTCCAAAGAACACCCAGCGTGCCTCACGCCAAAAAGAGAGGGAACAAGATATCTGCCAGTGTATAAATTCCACCTGATTACAGGAGGCATGCTAGCATCAAAGGAAATAAAGAATGAAAGCCCTTCTTCAGACATAAAATGCTATTGACGCGTTAATTATTGTAAAAATGACAGAATCATCAAACATGTGCTGTTAACATTTTCTTGTCTCCTATCTCTAATTCTTTAAGTCTTTGATTACAACCTGATATAATTCTGTAAATCACAAGGCTAGAGAGAACTCCTGCAATTTCACCAACTCAAATCACTGTCTCCAGGCAGAAGGTATTTCCAAACCCAGCTAGACACTCACATGACCACACACCTTTCTTAGCATACTAGTTTCAGAATTATGTCCAGTGTCAAGCCACATTCTACAATCCCTTGGAGTCATTACTGAATGGTCAAAAATGCCAATGTATTATGTCATGTGGAAGAGGCCAGAGGAGTATCTATCGCATCCTATTTTAAACTCCTGAGAAGGCAACTCAACCATCTGTCTTGGCAACCCATTCTAGGTTGGAAACACCCTGGCAGAAATGTCTCTCTTCTGTTTAATCTAAATCCTACAAATAGAACCTTGAGATAATTGCATCCCATTTCATTTTCAAATAATTTGGAACACAGTTGTTTACCATTTGAGTTATAGGATTATATAATGTCACAGGGCTGTGGTGAGCAATAAATGACATAGCTCAGTGTCTGGCACAGTGTAATGGCTGTGAAAATACATAATAATGGCTCAGTACATATTTATTATTACCATGATTAAATGTGTAAGGACTCCGTAACAACTCAAAATAATTTAAGCTAATAAAGGGGGGTGAGATAGAAAATATAATTAAAAAGGAAGTAAAAATATCCAGTGGCCTTCAGGTACTACCAGATCCAGGATTCAAATAATGTTGGCAGGGCTCTTATTTCCCTTTCTTCCCCTTGGTTTTTAAGACAAGCTTTTAAAGTATAAGATAAGGACAGCAACCAGCAGATTCAGGTGGGATAAAACATATCTTAACCACTTTGAATAGGTTCTCTATTCATCAGTTTATGTATCAAAAATTTATTGAATGTTAACGTTAAGCAGAGTTCTATGAGCTGAGAATACAGCAATGTCCAAGACAGATAAAACTGCTGCCCTCTTGGAATTTACCTCCTAGTGGAAAGAGGGAATCTGTTAGAAGAAAGGAAAGGAATGCTAGAAAGATAAAAATGTTATCCTCCACAAAGTAAGGTCATATCTTATACCTTAAGATCAACTCTTACCTTTCTTTCCTCCCAGCTAGTAAACTCAATCCTTTTACAACCTTCTTCCCCTTTACCAACATGTGAAACTCCCCAGATCAGGTCTTCAAATGGATAAAGAGCCTTGTCTACTACGGATTTTGAGTGCATTTAGTTTACTTATGCTATGTAATCTGTGCATAGTGTTTCTACAATATGCCTGTAGCTATAATAAAACCTTCCTGTTTCCATTTTTTAAAATCACTTATTCTTTTTAGACTATTTTTGCACTAAATACAGGTCTTTCTTCTGCCTTCACGGTTTCCTTTAAATAGGATGTTAACTAGTAAAATCCTACAAAAACCTGGTCATTTATTGGTGATTTAAAAAGCATACCTCTGGGCAATTTTATTTCTATTCCTCTGTGTTAACCATTCTAAATCTATAAAATTGAAGGCCAGGAGACCAAGTTTTTTGATAACCCCCGCCCAGGAAGTGTGGCCTAATACTGGAAAATCTCAACCTCTGCCTCTCCCCTGGAAGTGCACAGTGAGGAATGCTTGCATGAAGCATTTAGGCTGCATGCTTATGATAAAGTTCAACTTCTCATGAAATAAACTGATCTGAATCACCCTGTCCTCATCTGAAAATGTCTAGATTTATTGATCTGAATCAACCTGTCCTCATCTGAAAACTGTCTAGATTTATCAGCGCTATCCTGGCTTTATTCCACAAACAATTCTATTTAAATTAGGCGTTGGTCTAACAGATCTGACAGACCACAGCAATCATTCATGGACTATGTTGAAAACGACTTTCACTAAATTCAAGACTGCTCATCACTAAATTCAAGATTGCTCAAGTGAAAAGGTGCGGGGGGGAGGGGGAGGAAGAGTTGGTTGTCCTCATCATTTTTATTTTTAAGTAATATTACAAGTTATCTGTTGTGCCCCAACTGTTTTCTAAATTTGGTTGCTTTTCATTCTACTGTGATTGGTATCTTTTGTCAGAGCAGTAATTTATTTCTTTTAATCCGGATATAACGGCCAAATGGGCCATTTGGCTCCATCCAATCCCATCGTTAAAACTTATCTTGGAATTAAACAAAAATGGATTTTTAATCGTGGAGCTCATCAGCCTCATAGCCTCCACCTCATTACTGAATCGCCCTTTCCGATGTGCACCTTCCGCGCCCGCTGAACCACAGTGCGCTGGTCAGCGGCGGCATCTCTGCAAGGGATGCAGAGCCTCCGCGCACAGGCCCCTTAAGTTCCCGTCCCGCGCGCGCCGAGAGCACGCTTGCAAAAGACCGGGAGGTGGCGGGGACAGAGAGAGAGAAGAGTCAGAGAGAGAACGAAAGAAAAAGGAGAGAAGAGGGAACAGAGAAAAAGAAACAAAGGTCTGCTTTGGGTTATTATTATTATTTAGGTTAATACCCTTATCTTTCTTTGCACTCCAGCCGGAAGGTCGACTCCAAGCCTCCTTGCCTGCCCTCGGGCTTCTTGAATTGGGCACCGTCCCTGTTGCCGCCTCCGGAGTTAGGAAAGGGACAGAACTTTCTGAGGGAGGTGAGGGGTGTCCCCGCGGCGTTTTGCCGGTTACTTCCTCCCGGCAGAGATCTCTGTTGGGAGGAAACATTCCCGACTTCCCTCCCCGGGACCTCCTCCCCAAATGCTAGCGGGGACGTCAGGCTGCTTCTGGGTTTATTTTATAAACCCTGCCAGTCAACTGCACTTGGCGCCGGCAAAACCTCCATGGCCCTCGCCCCAAAGCAAAGCTCTAATAGGTCCGAGGACTCCATGGTCTGGGTGGCGACGTGGGTCTCCAAGGGCGAGACCCCCTCCCTCGGTGGCTGGGCGTGTCCCCTTTAGCCTTCCTGGACCCCATTCCCTCCCGGCTTGGAGCCGGACGAACGGACGTCATTGGTAGGCGAGCCGTTGGGGGCGTCTTGACCCCAGGACGAGAGTCTGGGCCTCGGGTGTGGAGCCCTGCCTCCTCCCCGCTCCGCTCGGCCGTTCCACAGGTCTGGGTGGGAGCGGGGGGCGGAAGGCGGGAGGAGGCGGCGAGGCCGCGGGGAAGGATGAGGGGGCGCCGGCCGCCTCTCGGATTGGCTGCGCCGCGGCCCCCTCCGCACCGCGCGCCCCCTCCGCACCGCGCGCACCCCACCACGCGCCCAGCCGGCTCCCTCCCGCAGGCTTCGAGCTGCTGCCCGCGAAAGACAGGACGCGCAGGGTTGGGAGCGGCCCCCAGCCCCGCTCCCGGCCCCGGGCGCGCGGGAACCCCGGGTCCTGCAGCCTCCCGAGCGCGGAGAGGCGGGGCCGCCCGCTCCCGCCCTGCTGCCCGCGCCCCGTCCCGTCCCGCGGCCCCAGCTCCGGGAGCCGGGCGCCCTGCGCGCGGGCACTCGGCTGCCAGAGCGCCGAGGCGGTACCTTCAGCCTGCGATGAGAGGAACCCGGGAGAGTCCCCGGGAGCCCACGGAGAGCTTGGCTGCTGCGCCCAGGGTTACCGCTGCCGCCGCGGCTGCTTGAAACTCCTCAAAGTTGAGAGCCGGCGAGAGGCTGCCGCCCGCCGGGAGCCTGAGGGAAAGGAAGTCGGAAGGTGCAGCAGCGACAGACACTGACGCGCAGACCTTCGGAGGGCAGCGCGTCGGCAGCCTCGCCGGGGCCAGCCAGGCTCCCCAGCTCTGTGAGTTATTTTCTGGATGGGTGCTTGAAGTCTTTCCGTTTAATTGTTTGTAGGCTACGTTTGCGTATAGTTGTGTCTGTTGAAGGGAGTTTATTAAAAAAAAAAAAAAAAACCAAACCACAGGCTGCACCTTAGGAAAAAAAATGAGTTTCTAATGGTGGGTGAGACAGTGGGTTGTATGGAGAGAATGTGACTGTAAATGTCTTTTAGCAGGACTAACCCAGGAAAGAATACATTTAACAGTAAAGAGGAAACACAGAGCTCCCCAGTGTGAAATAAAATCCATTTCAAAAGTTATTGGAAAGAAAGTATGCCTCTTATGGGCTAACTAGTGGTAGTCAGCTTCTGCTTTTTACCCCCTCCTAAATATTAATTGTTTGCCAGGTTCACTGGTGGGAGGCTGAGCCGGTGGAAAAGACACCGGGAAGAGACTCAGAGGCGACCATAATGTCGTTACGTGTACACACTCTGCCCACCCTGCTTGGAGCCGTGAGACCGGGCTGCAGGGAGCTGCTCTGTTTGCTGGTGATCACAGTGACTGTGGGTCCTGGCACCTCTGGGGTGTGCCCCACCGCTTGCATCTGTGCCACTGACATCGTCAGCTGCACCAACAAAAACCTGTCCAAGGTGCCTGGGAACCTTTTCAGACTGATTAAGAGACTGGACCTGAGTTATAACAGAATTGGGCTTCTGGATTCTGAGTGGATTCCAGTATCATTTGCAAAGCTGAACACCCTAATTATTCGTCATAACAACATCACCAGCATTTCTACGGGCAGTTTTTCCACAACTCCAAATTTGAAGTGTCTTGACTTATCGTCCAATAAGCTGAAGACGGTGAAAAATGCTGTATTCCAAGAATTGAAGGTTCTGGAAGTGCTTCTGCTTTACAACAATCACATTTCCTATCTTGATCCTTCAGCCTTTGGAGGCCTCTCCCAGTTGCAGAAACTCTACTTAAGTGGAAATTTTCTCACACAGTTTCCGATGGATTTGTATGTTGGAAGGTTCAAGCTGGCGGAACTTATGTTTTTAGATGTTTCTTATAACCGAATTCCATCCATGCCAATGCACCATATAAATTTAGTGCCAGGAAAACAGCTGAGAGGCATCTACCTTCATGGAAACCCATTTGTCTGTGATTGTTCCCTATACTCCTTGCTGGTGTTTTGGTATCGTAGGCACTTTAGCTCAGTGATGGATTTTAAGAATGATTACACCTGTCGCCTGTGGTCTGACTCCAGACACTCGCGTCAGGTACTTCTGCTCCAGGATAGCTTTATGAATTGCTCTGACAGCATCATCAATGGTTCCTTTCGTGCGCTTGGCTTTATTCATGAAGCTCAGGTGGGGGAAAGACTGCTTGTCCACTGTGACAGCAAGACAGGTAATGCAAATACCGATTTCATTTGGGTGGGTCCAGATAACAGACTGCTAGAGCCGGATAAAGAGATGGAAAACTTTCACGTGTTTCACAATGGAAGTCTGGTTATAGAAAGCCCTCGTTTTGAGGATGCTGGAGTGTATTCTTGTATCGCAATGAATAGGCAACGCCTGTTAAATGAAACTGTGGACGTCACAATAAATGTGAGCAATTTCACTGTAAGCAGATCTCATGCTCATGAGACATTTAACACAGCTTTTACCACTCTTGCTGCTTGCGTGGCCAGTATAGTTTTGGTACTTTTGTACCTCTATCTGACTCCGTGTCCCTGCAAGTGTAAAACCAAGAGACAGAAAAATATGCTACACCAAAGCAATGCCCATTCATCAATTCTCAGTCCTGGCCCCGCTAGTGATGCCTCCGCGGATGAACGGAAGGCAGGTGCAGGTAAAAGAGTGGTGTTTTTGGAACCCCTGAAGGATACTGCAGCAGGGCAGAACGGGAAAGTCAGGCTCTTTCCCAGCGAGGCAGTGATAGCTGAGGGCATCCTGAAGTCCACGAGGGGGAAATCTGACTCAGATTCAGTCAATTCAGTGTTTTCTGACACACCTTTTGTGGCATCTACTTAATTTGTGCCTATATTTGTATGATGTCATAATTTAATCTCTTCATATTTAACTTTGTGTGTGCTCTGCAAAATAAACAGCAGGACAGAAATTGTGTTGTTTTGTTTTTTGAAATACAATCAAATGGTCTCTTCACATGATTGGTAGGAGATGAGGTAAAGCACTTTAGTTCCTCAATGTGCCAGAGAAAGATGGGGTTGTTTTCCAAAGATTAAGTTCTAGATGACAATATCTTAGTCTTTGGCACTATTGATAATTTCAGAGCAGGCCCAGAGGTGATATGACTCCCCTTGTCCCTTTATTTAGGGTATTGAAAGAAAAAATAAATTTTATGTATTCGTGTCCTTTAAAAATAGACTGTGCTAACTTATTAGGACCAAAGTTGAGTTATTTTAAAGAAAGCACTAGTGTTCAATTTTATTTTTAAAAGTTGTAGAAAGAAGAATCAAGCATCAATTAATTATAAAGCCTAAAGCAAAGTTAGATTTGGGGATTATTCAGCCAAAAATTACCACTTCAGACCAGAATGAATAGACGACACTGATAAAATGCACTGGATAATGCCACATCCTATACAGTGTTATATAAATAGTGCAAGGAAAGTACAACTGTTTGCCTGTCTTCTTTTCATTCTGTACATTTTTTCCATTCTGTATCTTTGTACAAAAGAGTTCATTGAAAATTTAAAGTCATCATGATTTGTTGCCATAAATATGTAAGTGTCAATACCAAAATGTCTGAGTAACTTCTTAAATCTCTGTTCCAGCAAACTAATATATTGGTTCATGTGCTTGTGTATATGTAAATCTTAAATTATGTGAACTATTAAATAGATCCTATCTTACTGTGCTTTGGACATCTGAATTAATGTAAATACATCTAATCTGTGACTTGATGTTTTATTTGGCTACTTAAAAACATAAATCTAAATGTTTTATGTTCTCAGATTATGCTATTTTGTATAAAGCACCACTGATAGCAAATCTCTCCCTAAAATTCTTATAGTAAAGTTTATTTTTTTTAAGTGGGAGAGGAAGGCTTTAATGTGTTCTAGATCAATTTGTACCTTCTATATGACGTTTTATTCTGATATCATTATGCCCTTTAACCAGATTCAGAAAACACTTAAACTCTTATTTTGCAACAAGTGAGAGCCCAGGAGACCTCCTTATTATCCTGTCTCTGCTATGAGGCAATCAAGTACCCTCTCTGAACCTAGGTTCCCTCAGCTGTAAAACAAAGGTTTCAGACCAGATGGTGTTTAAGGTTTCTCCCCATACTGGAATGAATGATTTCTTGGTGGTCTTAGCATCATCACAGACCTATACTGGCTTTCTGAGACACTACCACATACTGAAGGAATGCAGGAATGGGATTAAGATAGACTAGCATGGCAGTGTACAGCTCGAAGGAACGTTCCACATCATCACTCCAGCTCCTTCTCTTTTCTCAGGGACAAATGAGGCCCAGAGAGAATATGGCATGTCTAAGGTCAGACAGTGGCAAGCATAGAGGAGAGCTGGAGTTTAGCATTCTCCCTGGTGAAGATCAGAGGTCCAAAGAAACAACTCCTTTTCAAGGGATGGGCATAGAAAAGGAACCAAGGATTCAGATAAAAAGTGATCAAAACATGGCAAAGGAGAATCAAGGATTCTCCTTTGGGAAAAATATTGCAGAGAAGTAGATAAAGATGGAACATCGACCACTTACTTTGGCAGTAGTGGTTTTCTGTGAATGAATCAGTAATCAAAATAGTAATAACAATAATAATGGATGCATGGTGCCATGTGGGACTTTCAGTGGCAGACTGGATAGCAGGAAGTTAAGGAACAAGTAGCCAGTAAGTGTGCTTTTAGGGAACAGGATGTAGACCTGCTGCTCAGTAGCATTGAAAATGCCTTATTGGATGGTGTTAAAAATTACTAACACCTCTTAAACATGGACCTCACCCTTTAGACAATATCCTTCAGAGCCAGAGATGGTAAAAGCAGGCATTTTATTCTGCTTACTGCCATTAAAATAATTAGGAAGAATCCTGTGACTTGCAGGGCCTTAGAAATCATCACCTCTTCTTCCTTTATAGAAACGCAGACTCAGGAAATGTTGTGTTTGTTTAGGATCATACTGCTAGTCTGGACCCAAGGAAAACCACTTGATCCATGAAAGTTCTCCAGCAAAGGAAGGGCTGCCACAAGAGGCTGTGAATACTCTAGGAGTGTGATAGAGCTGGGACTATCCTCTCACAGGGAAGTTGGAAAGAGGATCCCTGAATTAAATCTTTTTCGGAAGGGATCCCTAAGGGTCTTCGATTCCTCAAATCCTTGATCCTATGAAAATAAGTGTTATATTTGGCAGGGAAATATGGACAGTATTAAGGGTAGTGAGTGGCTCTCTGGCAAAATGATAGGATGAGCTGAGACAGAAACTAAGATACTTATAACCAAAACCAACCAACCAACCAAACAGAAAATTCCAAATACTGAAAAGCAAAGCTGTGTTTTGAACAAAAGTAGGAAGGCATGTTGATTAAAAAAAAAGAGTATGAAACTGAATGTTGTGATGTAGAATTTTATTTTAACTTCTTGGATGTATCAATTTTTTGATAGGAGCCTGATCACATATATTTTAAATATAGGAACAAAAGTAATTTATCCTTCTAAAATGTATCTCACTGAGACCTTTTATATAATTTTCTTTCCAAGTAATAATCTGGATTTATGTAACTGGCTTATTTTTTAAGCCACTTAGTATTTTTTATTTTATAGTTGTGAGACATGGAAACTCACTGGATAAATCAATCAAAGATCATAGAAGTGAAATTTTCCAAGGTTTAGAGTATTTTTGCATTATAACAAAGATACTGGGTCCACTATTCTCTGTGTACATATGATAATGTATTCTATAGTTGTGAGTTAAAATTTTAAACACACTTTCAAGATCTAGAATCTGAAAGAAGGACCTAAAAGATTTTCTTATTTAAAATCAATTTCTGCATTACTCTTCACTGTTCAGTCTAGACACATTAAACTATATTCATTTTTTAGCTTTAATTGCTTGAACCATTTGCAGGGGAAATGTTTTTTATATTTAAACATTTTTCTAATGCTAATCAGAAGGGACATAAGTGAAACTTAGGGGGTGGAAACATAAGAGAAATGGGAAGACACACTACCAGTTGAAATTCCAAAGATACTTGATTTGGGATCATCCTGCGAAGCACTATTAAGACAGGAATACAGTCTAAGCATCCTACAGCATCATTGCTTTTCTTTTTTCTTTTTTTTTTGAGATGAAGTCTCACTGTGTCACCCAGGTTGGAGTGCAGTGGCATGATCTTGGCTCCGCCTCCCAGGTTCAGGCAATTCTCCTGCCTCAGCCTCCTGAGTAGCTGGGATTACAGGCGTGTGCCACCATGCCCAGCTAATTTTTGTATTTTTAGTAGATACGAGGTTTCACCATGTTGGTCAGGCTGGTATCGAACTCCTTACCTCGTAATCCATCCACCTCGGCCTCCCAAAGTGTTGGGATTACAGGCGTGAGCCACCGCACCCGACCCCACTGCTTTTCTTTTGTCATAACTGTTGCTAGCTTGGTGTCACCTTCCAGTGTCATCTGGTTTACCAGATGATCTAGCAGTAGGTTAAAAACTAGGCTTCTCAATAGACTTCCAGGGGAAAGTTAAACAAGCAAGGGTTTCCAGCAGCTACCCCCTGAACACTCCTCAAGCAAAGATTCCGATTCAAGAAGTTTGGGATAGGAGCTGCCCAACTACTTTTTAAAAACTTTACTGTGACATTCTGATTCTACCTATTTTGGTGAAACAGATCCTGAAACGAGACCATAGCAAATTGTGTATTTGAGGCTATGTCCAAATACATTCCTCTTACTTGCTAATACATTTATTAATAAAAATTAAAATCTTAGCCCTCTAAAAATACTCTCATATATTAGAAAAACAGAAGAGTTTGATTGACGGACACTAAATGAAACATGGAGTAAATTGGCTGTAATTTATGACTTATATTTTCTAAATTGGGGAACATGGAATAATTACTCTGAGATGACTATATCCCTGATTCTTTCATTTGTTAAAACTATTTTTAGTTTGAAGCAGCTATAACAGATTGGGTTCCTAACAATGAGCTTTAGAACTTTCAAATTTGATTAGATTATAGTAAAGTGAGGACATATTCCAAGGATGTTTGAGTGCAGATTTCATCTACATGGAAGCAAACTCTTCGCTTTTCCAATATATTAGAATAATAGTTTTTAAAGAAAGCACAGATTCTTTTCATGGTTCTCTCATTCCTCCCTCAAAAGCCAGACCCCCAATTCATGATTTAATTTATTATAATATGAAAGTTAGTGTGGAAAGATGATGATTAATTTTCCCTTGCAAGTATTATTGGGTGGTAATATATAAAAAGTAGAACTAAAAACCATTATAAAAACCTCTTGAATAATTGAGAGAACTGCTTAAGCAGCCATTGTTGCTTGTGGATAGATGCCAGGGAAGGAAGCTCTTTTACAGTAAGGACCAGAGCATGGAAAAATAGACACTTTGTTCATTTTTAAATGTGCATATGGCATTTATAGTGGTTTTAACTTATCAAGCACCTACTAAACACCAGGCTCGCTGCATGAGATCATTTTTATTTACTATCATTCCTTGTTGTAGCAGCCTTAAAAGATGGGAAATACTACTCTGTTACATATAGTAAAAAGCAACTCAAAAAGGATAAACCATTTTCCCAGGTGACCGAGTTAACAAGTGTTTTTATCGTGATAATCATTTAAAAAATATCTCTCCACAGTACTCACATAGACGTTTAACTAATAGAATAACTTTATAAAGCATGAGTGGAAGTAAACTCTCTATAAATGTAAGAATTGAATGAACTAATGCTCACAGCACGTCTGGGGAGAAGAGAAACGGAAGGTCAGGAGATTATAAATCATAATAAAGGTGAACATGTTTTTTTTTCCTATAAAATACAATGTGTTACTAGTAGCAAAAGTTGAAATCTACCTTAGAAGAGATGAACTTGATAGACTAGTCCTTCTCCAGTCTATTGGCTCTTTTTAGTCCAGTTGCACTTCACACATGAAATTGCCTAATACGCAAAATAAATGTCTGCTTTATCATTATAAACTATATATCAAAATATTTAAATGAATAAGTGACTAATTTCAATATTTTAAAATTAGAACATGACCCGAATTTATGGGTAAACGTTCTGTTTGAGGGAATATCAGATAATTTGTTTTAAATTTCTTGGAAAGTAGCAGAGACAAGTCAGACTGCATGGGAGATTTTTCCAACTAATTTAAAAAATAGATTTCTTAAGACAAAAATTATTTCACAAGGTAGCTTCACTAGCTTACTTGATTAAACTTCCCTATAAGGTTAGCAGAGTGTCAAATATATTTTTAAATTTTTGTAGTGTCCACAGGATCTTAGGGTCATGAAGTCAAAAATCTAGGATCGAGGGTGATGACTTTGGTGATGAATGGCCAGTAGTAATCCAGAGAAGATTATTAGGCATTGCTAGATACTGTGGAAGCCATAAATGATGTATAATAACCACTCTATCCTCTTAAAGGAGATTACAGTACAACTGAGAGTGTAAACAAATAAACCTATTCAAAAGGAATGAAGAGTTAATCTATTTGTAACTATAATGGCCAATAGGAGGTGAGAAAGGAATATACTCAAATATCTTGTTTTAACCAACTGGGCTAATGTGATACAGGTTTAAATGCTACATAACCGTCCCACAAATGCCACGAATATTACCGTAGCTAGATCTTGACCTGCAGTTAGCTGATGTTTTAGGGTTATACATTACCATTCTTGATCAGATCCAGAGGAGACAGGGACCTTAAAATTTTGCACTGGCTCTCTCTCTACATGCATAGCCCTCACTTCCATACGGTTAGGCTGA